AGGAAGCAGGCCACACCCCTAGGGAAACTTCTTTTCAATGGATTGGCTGCTCAAAGCATATACATCCAATCACATCATGGGAATAACCACATCACAACTGCTTAAACCACTCAGAATTGTAGTCTAACCAAGTTGACACACAACCCCAGCTATCACGGTCTCATGGGTAGGACCACAGCCTTTGGGGTGGAACCATCAGTCTCCTAGGTTTCGATGAGTCAAACCTTCACTAACTTGGCTTTGAAGTGTGGGGATGCTTGTTCATGTGGGCCAGTGGGATGGAGCCATAGCTGCTGCCCTAGAGTGAGGGGGAAGGGCTGCCATGCCCAAGATGTAGAAGAGTACGGCCTGCCAGGGCAAGGGGGTCAAGTCACCACTCAGAGGAACTAGGGGATTGGAGCCACCCATTGAAGGAAATCTGTACAGATGCCACCCACTGAAGATCTGTACAAGTGCCAGGTTGACAAGTGGCGGAATTATGGTAGATAAGGTTGTATGTCCTGGTTAAGTGCCTGGGTAGCTGGATATAGTTATTCCCCACGATGAGACTGGTAATTAATTCCATGGTAGAATCTATTGGAACAGGTGAGTATCTGCTTTAAGGATGTGGGCAGCTTCCAGTATATAAGAAGCAACTTTGGGGAAGGTCTCCAGCTTTTGGGCACATTTGAACCCTGCATGTAGCCCAGTCTTCATTCAATAGCCTGCCATGCTCTGCCAATCTTGGGACTTTCAATGGATTTGAATTAATGGTCTGCCGTGTGGTTTGGTAACATCAGGACTATGCCTTTTTACTTGTCGACCTTGGGTTTGTCAGCCTCAGCAGCCAGCAGCTGCCTGTGTAAAGAAAAGCCCACTCCAGCTTCAATAGGCTGGGACCCAGAGCCAGAGCTGAAGTTCAAGGTCAAGGCACTTTCACCCAGCCCCTAGACCCCAGCACTTTGAACTCATATTTCTAGCCTCCAAAACTGTAAGAGAATAAACTCCTGTTTGTTCAAGGTATATTCCTGTCAGAGAGGCACTAGAGGTAACCAAAACATGCAAGGTTTTTAAAAATATAGATTAAAAAGTCACTGAGAGACAAAATAAAATACAACATTTCTCAAGGTGGGTCAGATCAATAGTAATAGCTTTAATGTAGCAAGTGCTATGTATTTGTTCATAAAAATTATTTATAGAATGAATCTTCTGTAAAGTTATTTTGATGATATGCCATGATATTTTAAGAGCAAAGTCACTTTGTTTTCTTACTCTAAATCACTGTTTCAACAGCAGGTTTTTATAGACCCTTTAAAAAGGCAAAAGCCATTTGCTGGGAAAGTAAACTTCTAGTATTAAAATACTTAATTCTGGCCTTCTCATTGTATCATGCACCCCTCCTTTCAATATCATAAGGCTACTAGTAAAATAGAGTGAACAATCACTCAGTGTTTTTCCTGACTTGTTGTCAATGAAATTGCTGTGGTGAACAGAAATAGCCTAGGAGATAAAAGAGGGGAGACAGATGTGAAATAAGGAAGAATCTTCCTCTTAGTTACATAGTCAATAGTGCTTTTATAAAGTGCTATTTCATACCAATGTTTTACACTTAATTTCACATTTTTTGGCTTACGCTAATGTTCATTTATACCACTTTACTTTAGTTAAGTAGAAAATATAGAACTCAGAGTTAAAATGGTAACACAATCCTACCTACAAAACATGAAGCCCTGTAATTCCTTCTATATATACTTTATTCTTCTCTTTATTTTCCACTCCACATTTTGTGGTATCATAAAAAAACCACAAGCATGAACTAAGAAAATGTCACTGTGCAACACACAGTGTTGTTGTTAGCTGATGCTGAGACAGCAACTCTGAGTACAACAGAATAAGACACTGCCTAGTCCTGCACCATCCTTGTGATTGCTTGTGGATGGGACGGCTGTGATCCGTAAGGTTTCCACTGGCTGATTTTCAGAAGCAGATCCCCTTTTCTTTCTAGTATGTTCAGATTGGCAGTTCAGTGGTAGAATTCTTGCCTTCCACGTGAGAGACCCAGGTTCCATTTCTGGCCAAGGTGTCCTATGCGCAACCTACACTCATCTGTCAGTGGAGGCTTACGTGTTGCTATGATGCTGAATCGGTGTAACCCACACAAGTTATTTAATCTATATGGGCCTTAATTCTCCATATTCATATGGCTCATTAGGGTGTTCTGAGCCTTAAGTGAGACAACATATGTAAAATGCTTGTGGTATTTTGGCACACAGAAGATGTTCAATAAATGAAATTATCCTCCCTTTCCTCTCTTACATCACTTTACTCTTCCTAGTTTCCACTCTCCCTTTCCAAATCCTATTCCAAAATTCAAACAGTAAAATTCTTCCATGAAAGCAATGACAGCTGACAATAATCGCTCCCTTCCCTAATATTACTTTTGTATTTCTTTCTCATTCATATATTCACTCATATTCCCTCCATCCCTCCTTTCCTTCCTCCTTTCCCCTTCTTTTTCACTCCACCATTTAATTATACACTACTCTGCATTATTTTTAATGACTAGAAGACTTCCGGGATGCTATCTAAAAATTATTAAGAACAGAGCCTACTGCAAAGTGAGCAAAGAGTAAATAAAGAAGCTAAAAGATGCATTAGGCATACATAGTCCATATTACTATAAAAATAGTTACTATGAGGATATATTGCTTTTATAATAAAACAAAACAAAAAAAGGTGTTTGTGTATGTGCTGCAGGTGGAATGGGAGAGAGTAAACCTGAAATGGGAAAGAAAAACTAAGTGCAAGGTCTTTCTTCTCCTCATACCTCCCCTAAGTCAAGCAACAAGCAGCCTGGGACAAAGTAAAGAGCATCGACAGATGTTCTCAGAGCAAAGCTTCACAGAAATATAGATAGATTAAAATCTTCTTCCTAAAAATAACTAAGTAGTATTGTAAGCATTCTAACTTCACTTAACCACTGCTTAATGGCTGACAGTTGTTAAACCACACATGAAAAACAAGAAAGTGCAAAAAAAAATGTATTCTACTTACCAACAAGGAGCCAAACAACATTGGAATTGTGTTCTGTAAGAAAATCTTCTAACTGAGTGATACTAGGAACAATACTGTCATTCTTCCTTTGATCCATTTCTGAAGTTTTTTCATTGTAGCATCTAAAGGCCTAAAAGAGTTGCAAGGTTAAAATTTAGAAACCAAGATTTATTAAATTGCAAGAGAAATCATGTAAGGGATAAAAGGTATCATAAGTTGACTAAATCACACTCTACCTCTTCAATGTTGAGAACGCATTTCTAATGAACATCTATGACAATTATTATATTTTTAATTTCCCAGTGTCACCATTCTAAATAAGTGTACACATTCAGTTTCAGTTACTATATTCTGCCTCAAAGTAAGTGGGACATGACTATTTTAAAATCTAATCAAAGATTCTATCTCAACAATAAGAAGGAACTAAGTATTAATCAAGAGTTTGGCAGCACAGTGATTAAGGCATTTGGCTGCTAACCAAAAGGTTGGCAGTTCAAACCCACCAGCCTCTCTGTGGGAGAAAGATGAGGCAGTCTGCTTCCACAAAGATTTACAACTTTGGTAAATCTATGGGGCAGTTCTAGTCTTTCCTAAAGGGCTGCTATGAGTTGGAATTAATTCAATAGCAGTGGGTTTTGGGTAAGTACTAATCTTTCTTGGAGGAAATACAGCCAGAATGGTCCTTAGAAGAGAGGTAGAGAGACTTGGTCTTGCTTATTTTGGACACATCCTCAGGAAAGACCAATCACTAAAAAAGGACATGTTTGGTAAGGGAGAGGGTCAGCAAACATGAGAGAAACATTCAATAAAATGAATTGTCATGGCAGCTGCAAAAATGGACTCAAACACACCAAAGATTATGAGGATGGTGCAGAACTGGGCAATGTTTTATTCTGTTATACATACGGTTGCTGTGAGTCAGAGCTGACTCAACAGCAACTAACAAATATCAATAATCTGTATTAGACAAATTCACCTAAACTTGCTGGAAAGTTATCACTTAATATTTTATATATACATAAAATCAGATTAATCCCTCATAACCTCTATCAGCTCTATGTATTCCCCATTTTTCCATGGAAAAACAATCTTCCTAGTTCAGATTTACCCTGTGCAGAATGTAGACAGTAGACAGATCTCCTGCTATAAAATTCTCAAGCTAAATTATAATATACTGTCAAATGTGACCAA